CATCTCACTCTGTCCTCACTCCATCTCACTCTGTCCTCACTCCATCTACCTCCCTGTACGTCTCCTCTTTTGTCTTTTTCCTGCAGCTGCATCTCTAACATCCTTCTACCAGTATACCTACTGTCCCTCCTCTGGACATGTCCAAACCATCCCAGTCTGGTCTATCTATCTTTATCTCCCAGTTGGGCTGTACCTCTGATGATCTAATTCCTGATCTTCTCCATCCTTGTCGCTCCTAAGGAGAACCTCAACATCTTCATTTCTGCCACGTCCGGTTCTTTCTCCTCTCTTTTCATCACCACTGTCTTGTAAACTTCTCCTTTGATCTTTGCTGCCGCTCTTTTGTCACAAATCACTCCTGAAACATTTCTCCATCCTGCCTGGATTCTCTTCTTCACCATGTGACCACTTCCTGTGTTCCTGGACAGTTAACCCAAAGTCCTTGAAGCCCTGCACCTTAAATTGTGACCTCTGACCTCTCTGTTCCACCTGCCTTTCTCCCATTCACACACCTACAGCTGACTTAAAGTAAAAATATTTTAGAGGGTTCTGTGCTAATTGATTTGACTTCATCATCCAGTCAACATAAAAAAAACAACCTTCCAATGTTATGTGAAGACGCCTTATAACGCCTTTATGTTCCTTGTGTTTGAGTGTGTCCTGCTGGTTTCTTATAGTGTTTGGTTTTCTTGTTAGATGACAAAGCCCCAGTCACAGACACCAACATCCCGTCCCACCTGGAGCAGATGCTGGACATTCTGACCCAGGAGGAGGCTGAGAGAGAGTCTGGTGAAACGGGGCCCTGCATGGAGTACCTTCTGCACCATAAGATCCTGGAGACACTCTACACGTTGGGCAAAGCAGATGTAAGGCCGTCCCGCCTTGGTAACTTGTAGTGGATACAATTACTCTGATGTGCAGGTCTCTCTTACAATAGAATAGTTCTTGGAATGGTTCCGTTCTTACCAAAGAGACAGGAGTTTCTGTGTTAAGGTTGAAAATGGCACATCTGCGTCAATGCCTCTTTCCTGTGGAGTCCCACAGAGCTCGATTCTTGGACCGCTTTTGTTTTCACTCTGCTTCTTTTGGGGTTTGTCCTGAGGAAACAGTCTTTCGTTTCATTGTTATTCTGATGCTTGTCAGATTTATCTGCCCTTAAAACTTAACAGTTACAGGTCTCTCTTGTAAATGAGTCCTCGTGACTCAATGAGACTAACCTGTATAAACAAAAGTTGAATGAATATGGGTTTTCCCCCGATTGTGATAATTTCTAAATATTGTTTTATATAATTTCTCCTCAGTGTCCTCCAGGGATGAAGCAGCAAGTGCTTACCTTCTACACAAAGCTGCTCGCACACATTCGTCAGCCCCTCCTGCCACACATCAACGTCCACCGACCTGTACAGGTGAGACGTGTTTGTTCATTGTGCTCATCATAGCATGTAGCGTCAAAATAGGCTTCTAGCTGACGGGGTGCGTTATTTCCCTCCGATGTTTGCGTCACGACTCAGAAACTGATCCGTCTGTGCGGGGAGGTTCTGGCTGCGCCGACAGAAAACGAGGAGATCCAGTTCCTTTGCATCGTCTGTGCCAAACTCAAGCAGGACCCGTACCTCGTCAACTTCTTCCTCGAGGTGGGTTGTCACGACCGCCGAGATCGAAATAAACGATGCGCCGGAGAAAATACTTTTTTTTTTTTACTTGGAGGCAGCGTGAACGCAAGAGTGATGAACGAGTTTCCTCAAACTTGCTGAAGAAGCTAAAACTGAGTTGGTACTGCTAAAAGAAGCAGAACATTAGCTAAAACCTAAAAAAGCAGAACGCTAGCTACAAGCTAAAAGAAGCAGAACATTAGCTGAAACCTAAAAAAGCAGAACGCTAGCTACAAGCTAAAAGAAGCAGAAC